TGGATGAACAGGACACAAGCAAACATTTTATAAATCCATTATGACAAGAATTTAATTAGGTTTGACTATGTGTGCGTTAACTGATTTAAAAGAATTAAATCTGAACTTTACCTCAGATAAAGACTCTTTATAAAAAGCAGTCTTTATGTTTCTCCATAGACGGTGATCATGGTCTAAAACGACCTATATAAAAAAATTTATATTACACAGAAGGTTTTTAAGCTATTGTGTAATTTAATGAGATTTTACGAGCAGGCTATATTTCAAAGGCCCTTACATCATTAACAAGAACAATATCCGATGTTTCTTCGTTTATGACCTAAATATATTGATTTTTTAGTTTAGAAATAATTTCTATAATATTAAATCGACTTTTGGAGTATTATCTTCTAAGTTATGAAAAGAATTCAACTTACTGCAACAGCAAGATTAGTTGTTGATACAAAGAGTTTTAAACTAAACTAAATTAATTATTTAAAAAACAATCAACATTGTACATTAAAGTTACCGCAAGAAGATATCTCGGAGTTGCAAACATATATTTATAATTGAATCGAATACTCTTTCATTTCTCGAATTATAATTATTGTTGGCTTCTCCAAGTAAATAAAAAAGCAATCAAATCAACTATAATGACTCGCCATTGCTTTTTAATAACTAGAGTTATGGTTGCCAGCTAAAACTCCATCCAGAATCATCATCATAAGTATCATTATATGGTGATTTTCTTGTTAATTTTGTTCTTGTATCCCTGTCACATAATTTATGATATTTTCTTTTACGGGTTCTATTGATTTTAAGTGCATTAGATGATTTTTGAGCTTTTTGTCTTTTTTTTTGTTGCTCCTTATATTCTTTTGTTAATCTTTCAATTGTTGAAAAGTCAATATATTGGGTTTTCATTTGCTTTATCCATTTTTATGTGTTAAGCCGTGTAAATTGTTAGGTGTGAAAGAATAATAATGACTTGAAATTTTCGATCGAAACTCAAGAACTTTTGTTTTTTTATGTGCAATTGCTATATATCTTGGTCTTCCAAGTTCATAAGAATTTAATGAATATGATTCTTTTCCAATATGAAGTGTTTTTGATCCATCAGACCATTTTACCAATTTTGTATTTGTTTCTTTCTCAATGATCTAAATATTTTGATTGAAACAATTATAAAATAAAATAATAATTATAATAATATTAATTCTTAAAAAAAAATTTTTACCTCATTCTCACCATCTTCACTTTTTCTCTTGTTATAACGCCATCTAATCGAGCTTGCTGTTGCAAATCTGACACCCTTACAATAATTTGACTCATTTTCTCCACAATATGTCTTGGGATCAAAATTTATATATGATTGAGTGAAAAATCTTGGCAATCTTATTAAATCAAGCTTATTAAAAAAAAACTCTAGTTAGGAACTAGTAATTAGGGCCCATAGATTCAATACAATAATATATATAAAGTACCTCTCTTTACCTTATTGGTTTTAGTGTGAAGAAATGCATTGAATATTTGTATATCTGCTACTTTAGAATGGAGGTTTTCAGCCCTTCTACAGCAGCAAGAACAGGAATAAAAGTGTGATGTTTGTTAAATAAAATAAAATGGAACATATTTAAACAAACTAATAATTATTACTCTTCTTCTGAGTCATCTTCACTACTTCCACCAGCTCCA